TCAAAAGGGGAGGGAGTGGGTCACAGAGATCACATGCTTCACAAGGTAATAAAATATCATAAAGCAAATGGAGGCAGGGTGAGATCACAGGACCACAGGACGGGGTGAAATTAAAATTGCTAATGAAGTTTCGGGCACGCATTGTCATTGATAACATCTTATCAGGAGACAGGGTTTGAGAGCAGACAACCTGTCTGATCAAAATTTATTAGGTGGGAATTTCCTCGTCCTAATAAGCCTGGGAGCGCTACAGGAGACCGGGGCCTATTTCATCCCTTCGGCTTCGACCATAAAAGACAGATGCCTCCAAGGGGGCCGTTCATAGACCTACCTTCAGGGCACATTCTCTTTCTCAGGGATGTTCCTTGCTGAGAAAAAGAATTCAGCAATATTTCTCCTATTTGCCTTTGAAAAAAGAGAAATATGGCTCTGTTCCATCCAGCTCACCAGCAGTCAGAGTCCAAAGTCTTATCTCCCTTGTTCCCTGAACATTGCTGTTATCCTGTTCTTTTTTCAAGGTGCCCAGATTTCATATTGTTCAAACACACATGCTCTACAAACAATTTGTGCAGTTAATGCAATCATCACAGGGTCCTGAGGCGACATATATCCTCCTTATTTTACAAAGAAAATGATGGGATTAAGAGATTAAAGACAGGCATAGGAAATCACAAGGGTATTGATTGGGGAAGTGATAAGTGTCCACAAAATCTTCACAATTTATGTTCAGAGATTGCAGTAAAGACAGGCGTAAGAAGTTATAGAAGTGTTAATTTGGGGAACTAATAAATGTCCATGAAATCTTCACAATCTTCTGCCGTGGCTTCAGCCAGTCCCTCCATTCGGGGTCCCCGACTTCCTGCAACAGGGAAACAAGTGAGATGTCTGTGCACTGCGATCTCTACATGTGGCTCTTACGTGATGGGACAGAAGCTGATTGGTGCTGCTGCCTCAAGGTTGTCAGTGCCCTTGACTGGAGGACGAACACCAACCACACCATCCCTGGATGGACAGACAGGTATAAAGACACAGAGTACACAGGGGTTCTGCAGGAAGCATCTGCAGTTCACCTAGTTCAACAACCCCAGTTGCCCCACAGTTGAGACCAGCCTGGCTGGTATCATGCAGGTGACTAAGCCTCAAGAAATGTTGAAACTGGGCCAGGCACGGTGGCTCACGCCTGTAATCCCAGCACTTTGGGAGGCCGAGGTGGGTGGATCATAAGGTCAGGAGTTCAAGACCAGCCTGGCCAACATGGTGAAACCCCAGCTCTACTTAAAAAATGCAAAAATTAGCCCAGCATGGTGGCATGCACCTGTAATCCCAGCTACTCAGGAGGCTGATAGAGGAGAATTGCCTGAACCCAGGAGGCAGAGGTTGCAGTGAGCTGAGATTGGGCCACTGCACTCCAGCCTGGCAATAGAGTGAGACTCTGTCTCAAAAAAA